ATGCCGCCTTGGGGGTATTTTTTTTTTATTTTCTTGTGAAAAGATTATTTTGTGCTTTAGCTGGTGTACGGGGTGTGGATGACCAAGGCGAAAGAGGATGTTCAGATTTTGAAACCGCAGGACAGATCATGTGGGCAGATCTGGGAGGAGGAGTCGTGGGTGGAAAAAGTGAATTTAATGCAATTAGTTTGGCAAATTCCACTTTCAGGCATTTCTACAGCGCCTGGGTATGAAATTTCGGATACTGCCCTGTCCGGTTAGAAAAAGCCAATGGAGGAAGTGAGACAACAGCAGAGCTGTAATGTGTATGTACAGGTCACTCTTAAAATTGGGAATCTTTAAAGAGTAAGCACTTTGCTGCTTTTCTCTTGAAGATGGTGCAGTGGTAGGTTATGCTGTTCCCCAAAGCACCGTTCAGTTTCCAGATGTGACCCACAGGGGTGAATCTCGTAGTTGTGCCTGTGATCCACCTGCAGCAACAGGAGGATCATTTCTGCCCTGAAACACCCCACGAGTGTTTACTGCTTTGCATCATCACAGTGATTTGTTTCAAACTTTTTGAAGAGCTGGGACACAGTGGATGTGATGGAGAAAATCACTAAACCTGATCTGCATCAAGGCTTTACATTAAGTTGTTCTGACTGTAATTAGCTGGGGCTTTGTGTGCAGTAGCTGGTCACAAAGGTCTGTAGCTATTTCCCGGTCTAGTGGAGCAGAAGCTGTGGATTACTTCCTTGATCTCAAATATGAAACCTTATTTTTGGCAACTGTTCTTGTAAGAATGCAGAGGAGTAAACATCGCGATTGCCATACTCCTGGTCAGCATTTTCATTAGGGGATGCGGTTACGTTTCCAGAAAAATACACCAAGCTTGCAATTAACACAAGACAATCAAAATTTTCTTACAGCTTATTTTAAAAGGGTTAAAATTTTTTCACTTCCCAAAGCTGTACAACTTATATAGCCTTTGCTTGAGCTCTAGGCACTGAGAACAATTAGGCCCCTGCTGTGATTAGAGACTTCTTGCGTTGGTGAAGACGCTGGTGAATGTCACTTGTCAAAAGTAGTTACCGTATCTGCTTGGGATCTGCTCACCACTTCATTCGAACATGGTGCATCAGATACTAGGTTGAAGTAAAGAGATCTAACTCATGGACATTCTCACATACCTTGAAACAGAGTTTAAAAAATACTGATAATTGCCACCTTTTTGGAAAGAATGTGTTTGTGGGATTGGTTTTGAAATGCAAGGACATCAGCAGTGCTCTTGCTCATGCCACCTCCACCTATACCTGCAAGGCCAAACTTTTATAATAAAGCCAGCTTAAATGCAACATATGCAATTCTCCAAAGCATTAAAGGCTGGAACACCGCTGTGAATAGCTCCAAAAAAGGAGGACAGTTTTTTTTTTTTTTATAATGAAACTTCTCCTTAGCTATTAATAATGCAAATGACTGCAATCTTTAAATATTCACAGTTCTTTTAAAGCTGCTGGTGATGGCAGCACTAGGGCACCCTGCCTACAGAAGTGTCAGGGGGGCAGCCGAGAGGGGCAAAGTTGAGCTTGTGAGGCTGGGGGATTTCAGCACAGCTTAACCCTCATCCATAGGACAAGGGTGCCCAGAGCACATCCTCATCCTCCTCGCTTTCTCTGTATTCTCTGTTAGCTCAAAGCAGTGCTCCAGCCAGGCACTGCATGTGTCACGCTTGGCTCTGACGCTTCCCCAGCTGCTCGGAGGAGCCGGATGGAGAGGAGCCAGCCCCAGCCGGTGAGGTGTGGGCTTGTCCTCCCCACGCAGGCATCTGTCCCTGTCCTGCAGCCCACGATCCTCACAGATGTCAGGCCACAGGTCACAGCTCGATGCCTGCCTCCCTCCACTCAGTCAGCCTGTGCAGCTTCAGAAAGGAATATGGGACTGGCTCTGCCTGGGGTTCCTGAGTAACTTGTCAGCAGAGGTTTATTTTGTCTGGTATTTCAGGGTTTTTTTGTTGTTGTTATTCTTTAGGATTGTGTGAATATTGCTTAGGGCAATCAAAAAGCAAGTGTTGCATCACAGTAGCACAGCTACCTTCATCTGATTAACAGTGCTAATATGCATCACAGTGAAATGCCACTCCACTGAGGCTAACACTTCTGACTTGTAACAAATGCTGTAAATAAGAAACCGTACCTAGGGAAACAACTGTCAGGATAATCCTGAATGAGTTTGATTTTAATCTGAAGTACCCAAAGCCTTAATGGTGAATGAAAATCCTGTGGTTGAACTTGGTGCCCCACACCTAACCTCCCTCTGGAAATAACGGTGCCACTACCAGCACCTTGGGGCTCATCCCTGCTCCTGCCACAGCTACGGCTGTGCTGTTTTGGCAGTCTGACCCCAGCCAGGCCCTTGGGAAGCCTGGGAGCCTTACACACATAATTCACAGGATGTAAACACTTCGGCACACTGCCAAAACACCTGCACCTTCGTCAGGAACGATGATCCCTAAGGCAGCTAAAAAGGCTAGCTTGTCCTTGGGGTTTATTTGGTACTGTTCCAGTGCGGATTGCTGCGTGCTAGCACTCAGCCTGTGGTCAGCTATTTCCGTATGAGATCAAAGGCTGTCAGATATGCCGACAAGGCGTTCGGACTGCCCAGGTAACTTGCCTGAGATCTTGTCCTCCAGCTTCCCATTGGGCTTGTTTGATCGGGGAACACAATGCATGCAGGATTCAGTTCCATTTTACTTCACCCACCCACCCAGTGGCAGATAAGGCACAGCCAAAATGCTGTGGGTGTGTTTTGCAAGAGCTCTTGCTGCCTTCAGTGACTGCAGTGACAATATACTTACATTGTTCAGTCTCTCATTTCCCTTCCTTTTAGAATATGCAGCAATAAACTCCATGCTGGACCAGATCAACTCCTGTTTGGATCACTTGGAGGAGAAGAATGACTATCTACATGCCTGCTTGAAAGAACTGCTGGAGTCCAACCGCCAGACCCGCCTGGAGTTCCAGCAGCAGAGCGAGCAGCAGAATATGGAAGCTGAAGTGCAGGGATCACAGCCTCCTGTCTAGCGTCTGGCCACAAACTCTCAGTTGGTCTTGCTAAGGGAACATTGACTGGTCACCACTTTAACTTAAAACTTGAATAGAAGAGGTACCTCGTACCTGTTACTTGTTCCTTCCTGTAGTTGTATCCTGCCATTTACCTCCATGTTCTGTTTTTCTTTAGCTGTGTGATAGGTGCAGAAGTGCGGAGGTGGATGTAGGAGAGCCGGTTCTTTCTGCTCCCCAGTATGAGCCTGGCACTGACACTTGGTTAAAGCTGATTGTAGGAAACCTGATGCCATGCAGGTTGTTTGCAAGCAGACCCTCTCCACAAAGAGGAAAAATTAATCTCTGCATTTTTGTACTGTTAAACCCAAGCAAGGAGTGTTACGGCTCTAGCCTCTTCCCTCAGAAAGCACAGTAGGCAGGGGCTGTCCTGACTCCAGACTTGCCCCTAAGTGTAACTCTGGTGACGGACTTGGAGAGGGCAGCCCTAGGCCAGCTCTTGCCTTGAAACTGCTGCTTCTCCATTACTCACATTAACTGTGATGTACAAAACACTGGCAAATGGTCCCAGTTCACTGGATGCTTCTATCCCCTTCCAAGCAGATAAGACAAGCTACCAGGGTGGGTTTTGACTGTTATAATTGGAAGCTGCCTAACTCCTTAAGCTGCCATTAAGCTCAGGCGTTAAGAGAGAGGCAGAGCAGCCTGCTTAGCCCCACCACAGCATTAGCTATACAGAGCAAAGAGACAGGAGCCTGCCTGCTGCAGGCTGCGAGCAGAGTCCTCCCTGTACATTTTGACAGGAGTACGCATGAGCATTCTGGTTTGAAACTTTGTGATCTTGTCAGGATGGTCTGGGGCCAGCACTGTGAAGCAAGTCTTACTGTTCTACTTCTGTAGAGTTAAAGGAGTTTTTTTGAAAGTTAAAGAAGTTATTTATAAGAAATCTGTTCTATTAAAATTAGTTTGAAATGAAATTTGTTCCTGAGAGTCTCCACTATGAGAACAGACTGTGTTAAGCCTTGTAAGATTAACAAAGGACCAAGATGCACTTTCTTGCCTAGCTTAGGACACAGTGCTCATCTAAGAGCGTGCATCTTTCAAAGGAAACTGTTCTGAGAAGCAGAACTGGGCATGCAGTCTCCCAAGAGATAAACTTTTCCTCTGTCTGGAAAGGAAACGAGAGGAACTACAAAGAATTCTTAGTGAAAAGTAAGTCTGCATCCATCTACTTCATGAACTTTGTCCCCTGTGGAAATCATATTACCATCCTCTTTCAGGTTCAGCAATCCAAGCCTCAGTCTTTACACATAATTGCTGTATCCCAACTGTACAAATAATAACGAACACCATCCTGTATTAGACACGCTAAAGCCAGGCTTATTTTATTCTTAAAATAAAAACAGCAGTAAAGTTGAAGGTTTTTGCTCTATTAAAAGACTCAGAAAATAAACATTTCCAGCACATATCATATGTAAAGGGCTCTCCCTTTAAGGCCACTCTATCTGGGTTTGCGCCTAGTAGAGCGTCTGCACCCAGCAGAGGCAAGACTGGCTGTCTCACCTTTGGCTAGGGAGGAAGGCTCTGCGGCTGCCTCCTGGCCTGTGTTTGCTGCCTCATTCTGTCCTAAACCCCCTCTGATCCCTGGATCCTGGCAGTCGTCTGTGCCTTCCCTTTGCCTGGCTGCATTGGCTTCCTCCTCCTTACACAGAGCATGTCCCAACAACTCCCCTACAGTGCGGTTCTCTTCAGGGGGCAGGCAGTCGGCACTAGTGGTAGTGGACTTGCTCTCTTCCTGTAGATCTTCTTCTACGACCATGATTCCACATACATCGTCAGTCACGCTGGCTAGGCTTTTGCCCTCTGCTACAGAGGTGGCCAGCTCACCCTTACCCTCTGGAGACCTCGAAGTTTGTTCTTGCAGGGCTGACAGCTCTGTACCCTCCTTGTCTATCCCATCATCATCATTCGCCTTCTTGCTGTTATCTGATGTTGTAGCAGGAGGCTGTTTCGGATCATCCAGCAATTGGGAGCTGGAGCCCTGGGAATGCAAAGGAGCCTCGGGGTAGGCAGCTGTGGCACGATGCCTGGCTGCCTTGTATCTCTGCAAATACAAACAAACCAACGTGAGAGACAAGCCCAGCTCGGCCACTGTCACTGCAGCAAGTAGCAGCTGGTCCAGGAAAACCTGTACAAAAACAGTGGTGAGTGGCAGCTAGAATCTGCAGGGGCACGACTTGTCTCAGCAGCTCTCCTGGCCTGGCTGCTGAGGCTTTCAAGCAGAGAAGGGTCAGCTCCTGCGAGGAAAAGTGGCAATATTAAAAACTGAAGTCCTTCTCACATTACTTAATGCTGAGTGAGTGCATGGCAGACCTGTGGCTCCTGAGACAAAAATCATGTTTTGGCAACTGTTAATCTCAGTCAGACTCAGGACTTTGTAGATGTAACAGTGCAAATGACAGCTCTTGCTTCAGCTACTGCTAGGACGTAACTTTGGACATGTACCCTGGATACATGAGGCTATGCGCTGCCCTCAGCTACAGAGGTGTGATTTAATGTTTATCAGCCAAAGCAAGACCTAAGTTGAAAGCTTAAGATTTTTTCACTCTGTTGATACAATCTGTGCAGTCAGTGAAACTGTTGACAGGAACACTAAGATATCAAGAATATCTTCTTGTTACAAGGTACTGAGGTTCTCTACAGAATAAAGATAAGCATATAATCAATAAAATGACTCATTTGCACTTGCTATCATGATGAACCAGTAGAGGACTGTAAAGAGATTAAAATGGCTACTAGCCATTTTCAAGACTGGATTTCAGAAAAACAACAGCTCTGTACAGCTACCTAATACGCAGTAGGAATCTGGCCTTCCAAGACCCAGACAGAGCTTGAGCTAAAGGAACAGAATAAACCTCCCTCTTTTCCACAGCAGTTCCCTCCACAATCAACTCACTTTCAGCTTTCTGCTAAAGGGTCCCTTTTACTGGCACTAGCATTAGACCTGGCAATTTAAAGAAACTATTTTGAGCACACTGGCTTTCACCACCGCCTTAAGCAGTGCCACTGTAGTCTGCAGTGTGGAATTACAGCACATCAGACGGGCAGCTTTACATTGTAATTTGGTTTACCATTGCAGGCTTGTCCTTCTTTGGTCCTCAAATAAGGGGATATGCACAGTATCATAACGCATTGGAACTAGATAAGTTGAGTCATAATGTTGCACCCAAACTAGACCAGGTGCAAGCATGCCAATTTGTTGCAGAGTGATGCTGCAAACTGCCTCACCAGCAGACAGTTCTCTGCTTTGAAACCCTCTGCTGAGCTACTTTGAGAGTACCCCAGAAACTGGCAATGATTTAACTCAGATTGTGACAACCCCAAGGCACCTAGGCAGCCAAGAATAATAGTTATCTGCCTGCAGATATTTAAGGTTGGACTCTTGTCATAAATAATACCTCCAAGTTACTCTGGCATCCATTTGAAGAGCTTCTGATTTCAGCTCTTAAGTGGGCCAAAAGGAATGCATACACACTGCTGCTGCAGTTTCACTCTAAGCTGATCTAAAATAAGCCAGGAAAATGGCAAGGCTGATTCCTTCATTCCTGAAACTAGTTGCAGGAGTGGGAGAGGATGAGCAACCATGAAGGAACAGCTGTGGTCTTCTCTTGCTACTCGCCATTCCAAATCCACTGCTCCAAGTGCTTGCTTCTGCAGCACCCCACCCCTTGCTGGAGGCAGTGACGGTTGACTAGGAATAGTTAACCTGTCTGAAGACCAGAAGAAAAACATGGAGTTTTGGTGGTTTTGGGGGGTAGGTGTTTGGTTGTTGGGGTTTTTTTGTTTGATTGTTTGTTTGGTTTGGTTTTGTTTTGTTTTGTTTTTTTAAACACTATCAAAAGCTGGTAGGGAAGCACAGCGGCTTTTGTTGGAGCAGGTTTTGGGTGCAGGCATAGGACAAAGTCAGTGTGGGAGCCTCCCTCCTTGCCAGGGTCAGGGAATACCGCTCTCCTGCACAGGCAGGCCCCAGGCAGTGGTCACGGGAGAGGGCAGAGACAGTGCAAGCCCTGTGTACCCACCACAAGGTACTAATCCAGGCCCCTCACCCCCTGGCAAGTCAACAAGGACAGAACGATGGAGGCAGATTCCAGGCCAGCCCAGTAGGAAAAGCTTCTAGATACGAAAGCAGCAAGGGGCAATACGACTTCTTTAGGTGGAGCCAGTAAAGCAAAGGAACAGCATCAGTTGGCAGAGCTTTGTGCTAAGGAGTTTCTAGGAAAGGGTAGCAGACAGACAGACGGACTGAATTCCCATTGCAGGCTGACCCTGGGGACCAAATGGACTCTCACCAGCTTGTAGCTTCCATCATATAGAGTCTATAATGTTGAATTTCCAGATTTCTAAGGTATCTGATTTTACCAGGCCCCTTCATGGATGAATCACACCCACAATTTTGGCTAAAGGAGCTGTTCCTGCAGTATCGCATGAGAAGATGCGTATGTACCAGCTTTCTTTAAAAGGAACAGCCTGTGTCTCTTGTTCTTTCCCCATCTTGACCCAGCTGTAATCTCTCTAACAGAGAAGAGGCCTAGACTGAACGACAGACTCCACAGGTTCAGCAAACAGAGCAGACACTCTCAGGAAGATTTCCAGCCAGAAATGGGCAACAAGATGGCAGCAGTAGTAGCTGAGAAGCATGACTGGACTGGTTTTAGATCTACAGGGGTGATGGGAGACAAACACAAAGCACACCAGGAGAAAGCTATGGCACAATGGACACCAAGGATGATGGAAATGAACTGAAGACAAGACAGCTAACGTGGTGGATTTGCTGAAGAGACACGCACGGGGATAACAAATGCCAGGCCATGCAATCGCCAAAGGGTCTAACCTGAAAGTTCTCAAAATGCATCAGGGACTTGCAGTGTGCGAGCCGGGCAGCAGAGTCGCTATGGTAGAATTTGTGACACAGCCTGCAGAGGTAACCTGCGACGGGGACCAGAAAATCCAGGCCTGCGAAA